TTTGGTCATAAATTAAAGAATACTTCAAAACTAATGGCTCAAAAAGAGCCCTATATGCGATTGTTCATCCTGAATTCTGACTCAACGGTGCTTATGTAGTCAGTTAATACTAAGCACATAACTCTAATGAACCAGTAAGAACGTTGTACCAGCTCAACACCAGAGTAGTTCATTAGTAAGTTGATCTTATTTTGAAAGTTAGTATTTGTGACTTTTTTAAGTTTATTGTTTAGCTGCAACATGCACTAGGCACGTTTTAAGATTATGTCGGGAGTTTTGGTTTATTTTTATAGCAGCTAACTTAATTAACATTTAAAGTGACACGTTATCCGCGATCCATTAGATTCTCAACATATCATTTTAAACATCAGGCCTGTTCTGCTCTCCAATCCGTATTTTCTCATTTTGAGGTATTCGACGTAGCATTGAACAATCAACCAAGTTGAAAATGTCCATAGAAACTCCGACTGTACATGAAATACCTGAATTTTGAAATTATCCGGTTGATAACAACGAATCAAACCCCGTATAAACCATAAAAAATAGCATATATTCGAAACCAGATTTCATCACATCTACAAATAATCGCGTAAGGCTGCTCCAGATTTTTAACCGTTAAATTTTGACCTTTAGAATCCAGGATGTCACAGTTAAGCAGACGACCGTGATGGTGAATGAAAGGATAAACGGAATTAGGACGGTAATTAAACGGTTCCTATTACATGGCGATTACGTTATATATAAGCATATAATCGGTATATTTTAATGAATAATATTATTATATATGATTATGCACAGTCGTTTTGTGCCTACCTCCTTTTTAATGTTCAAGATGTTTCACTTGTAATGAGTTCTACCTGCTACCTGCAGACGACATGTCGACTGTTCATTACGATCTACTCGGTCTTATTGCATTTTTTACTACTCATATGTATCTATGGCTGTTCTGTTTGACTACATAACTGTGACTTGTGCTTGGAGTGTTTTCATGTGACGAAATGACCATGCATTTAAACTGCTTCCAGCGCCATTTGCTGTAGTTGATGGTGGCATTGGGTGGGCGGTGGTAGTCGATGGAGTGTTGGCCCAACGTCTAAGAGGTCTGCTTCAATCTCGGGAGGTGCGGAGTTCGATGCCGCTAGATAGAAATCTGTCTTAATGATGAATTCCATTGAGCAACGAATTTATTAGATATTACTTCAACAGAATGTCGAACTCACAGCATAGGTCTTTCAGTTCAAGTCCCGGTTGTTAGTAACTCATTAACTCACCTTTCTTCCTTTCGAGGTTGATAAATGAGTGCCATTCTGTGAGAAAGAAACAAGAGACTATACTACGCTTTTCACATGGCT